TACACAAAGTAACAGTGCTCTTAAAAATAAATAATAATGTGCAATTTAAGAGTCAGATCCTGAAAGATGCCAATCTTGATGCCCACCTAAGTTCTGGACATGTCACTCCCAGTAAAGTTACTGTGAGTAAGGAGTGCTCAGCACTGCCAGATCAAACACTAAAAAAGGTACTGAACCCACGCTGTCTCTTCTTCAAATTGCAGTCAGTTTAAAAAAAAATGGTGATGACTCAAGTATGTGTTGGTTTTATTCTTTAACCAAAGAATGGTACAGTATTTATTAAATGTGGCCTGGATTCTTATTATGTATCAGAGCGTGTAAACCAGCCAAAGTTTGAAAGGTTCAGTAGATCTTAAATCTGGAGAGTGGCTCAGAGCTGAGGGAGAAAGAATTGCCCCAAAGCTGAAAACTTAACAATCAAATATATTTATCTATAATTTTCATGAAATACGAGAAAGAGGCTCTGCCACAGAAACATTAACATATATGTTAATAAACAATTCACAATAAATTTACTTGAATGAAATCAAATTCTTCAATGTAGAGCTGCCAAGAGATCTGGAAAAATATACAGTCTGCTGTCTTGATGTGGATCCCTGTTCTTATTTTTAGCATACTTCTAGGAAGCACGGCTGGCAATTGATACGACTTTCTTGAAGATAAATTTGAAGAATACTCAGTCGAAGGGCATTCCTCAGTCGATCCTTACCAAGGCAGATATCATTGAAATATTTGGGATCCTTCTTTTTATTCTAGCTATTTTGCATTAGTCGCTGATAGTGTTGGATGATAAGAGGGGTAATTATAATAAAGCACACCTGAGCTGTGCCATAGGTCAGGAGGAAGCATGCGCTCTCATCGGGGAGATCGGACTGGGTCCCAGCCTTGGGGAGGAGGGTGAGCGCGGCCGAGGGTCGGGAAGGAGGGCAAGGGCTGGTGGTGTCGGCCGCGTGCAATACAAAGGTGAAAAGCATGCAGGAACCGAGGGTGAGGGCCAGTTTTGAGAAGGTCCAGGTAAGCTACCGTTGCCTTGGAAGGAGGTGCTGCTGTCACGGCCTGTGCAAAACCAAGTCTGAGAAAACTTGCCCTGAATTGCCCTGTTGGACCAGACGTAGTGATAGGGGGGGAGTTTGGACTCCATGGCTTGTGTAGTGCAGCCAACAGAGAATCAGATGTGACCCTTGCCAAATAGGCTCAGGCCAAACTTTTCTCCATCCTTCGTTTGCTGACTTCTAAAGGCAAGCTCCCCTCATCTATCTTGCAATTAACCTCTCCTTGTTTTCATTTATTCAATCACAAAAGTAATTTTTTTTTACGACCACAGGAATTATAGTGTCTCCATCTGCTTTGCTCTCAGAGAAACAATCATATTGGTGTATTAAAACCTTCCCTGAGGTGAAAAAAACACCTGTCAGTTCACATTGTAGTCAATGTGAATTCCCTTTTTGTTGATGGCCTGACAGCGGAGCAAAGAAGAGAGCACATTCCCAGAGGAACAGATACAAGCTAAACAGGCACTTCTCTGAGCTTCTGTGAGACTGACATTTGTGAATCCCTTATCTCAATAGAAAGTCAATCACTGTATATAAAATGCATTTTAAAAAAAATCAGCCCGAACACCCTGTAAAACTCTAACAGAAGGAATAGGAATACACACACCTTTCACTGCAAGCTTACACAGTGTACATATAACACCCTGTGGTTGATCAACAACAAATTAAATACATTCCAGTCTGTATTGCTATTTAGTTCCTATTGATGCCCTGGTTTCAATGCTGATCAGGTTAGGACCGTATCCCGCACCTTGGCATATAGCCTGGATAGGAGAGACTGGTGGTAGCAGGAGACTGCTACTGTTTCTTCGCTATGGCAGAACGATTTTCTACTTCACACCAGCCTCTAGCAAAACTGGCTGCAAGTCAGGGATTTAGGCTACTAAATTTGCATAATCACAGACCTCTAGTCATGCATATGTGAACTTAAGAGGAAACATGGGTAAAAAGTGGCATTTTTTTAACTGCTAAACGTTCTTGAGTTTTGTGCTACGCATGAAATTCTCCATGCTAGCTCAAGGTTTGATACGTACAGCGGGTATAATATTTGGAGATGAGGACCTATCCTAGAGCTGAAAACGTAACAGGATAACACCCCTATGTTGTATCCGCATGCCTCCTCCTTAGCCTCGCCTGCCATGAGAATGGTGGGAGCAGGCGGCCTTCATTTACCCACCCCAAGAGAGCTACAATAGACCACACACACACAGGTTTTGTACCTTTGTGTACATCGTACTGACGTTCTGCCCTCCCCTTACTCCTCCAATTTCTTGCTCTCTTTTCTGAAAGGAGAGCAAAAGAAATGCTGCTCAGAAAAATCAGTGTGAGATAATACAGCTCTGTGTTATTTCAGTCAGTTACACAACCCTACATCAAGCTGATACAAAAGAGGTACATTAGAGAGATGTATCATCCAACACCATGAGAAATTTAAGTTTTGAAAGATCTGTTTGATCTACAGTTCCTTTAGTTTCCATTTAATTGACTAGTTTTGTTCTTTTAGCATGTTCCAATAGGTCAGCTGAGTTCCTTTAGACTTCTTGTTTTCCTTTCAATTAGCAATAAAAATCATATATATTTGAATGTTTGAGATAATCTCTTTGCTCCTGCAGATTTTTCTGAAGAAAAAAACTCTACAGGTAAAGTCAGTAAAGAGGCTTTGTTTGAGATGCTTCATGCAAACCATTTAAGCAACATAAATTACTGTAAATAAAAGATCCAGAATATGTTTCCTTCAGCAGCAAAGAAACATCATATGAAATGTACACCATTTCTTCAAGAAATGGAAAAAATGTGTATACAAGATAAGAGTAATCTTTGGTACCAAAAATAAGGGCACCTTTCTGTTGAGTGAGTCTTCAGATCTGAATAAAACCGAAAAACTTCTCCTTAAAATAAGGCTCAAAATGACCAATCTCTGAGTGGTTCCATGTAGTGGGTACCGACAGCTGTAGCTAGAAAAACAATCTGGGAGGTTGAGAGCTGTGCGACAGCAGGTTACAACACAATAACAATTGATAAAGTACTTGATGTTTCCCTCCACCCTCCCTCCCTTACCAATTTTTTTCTCCTAAGACAATTCCTTAAGATATATACTCTTAATTATTCATAACATCCTTGAAATCCTTGAAGGGTTCCAATACCCAAGAGCAACAAAACCCACCCAACAACAATAAGAAAAACAGCAACAAAAGCTGAGGTTATAATACAAGATCAGAAACAGTCCCCTGACTGAAGGAGTTTGCTAGATCTGTTTGATCTTACGGACTTCACTTTCTCTGCGCAATCCCATCATGATCTTCTCTGCCAACGCCTGGTGTATTTCCTCAAGAAACCATCCCATCCACCGGGGACTTCTTCGGTAAGCTCTCTGGCCACAGTGGCAAGTCAGCAATAAGCAGGCTATTTATTTCTTCTTTAATTCACGATGAATGTATCACTGGATCCTGTAAACACTACTGAGTATACATTCAAACTTTGTTCTTAGTGAAAGTGGCACTTTTGAACCCTTACAGTCAAGATAGCTTAGTTTTATAGCACTTTACAGGTATAGAAGCTGGTTATGTACTTCTCATAAAATCCCTTTTCCAATGGCTTAGCGGGTATTGAAATATATCCTCACTGGGATCCCATTGCCATTCCACAACATCTTTATGATGAAGTGCATATTCTGTACTTCTTATTGTACTTTACATGTGCTTTATTGCTGTACACATTTCCCTGTTGTTAGTTTAAGTGCTCCTCTGTTATGTAATACATATAAAGTTTTGAACTCCAGTGGCATCCTATGAGGGCTGGCATTAGAAAAGTACCGATACTTGAGATCATCATAATAGTGATATTTGACTGGTTTTCCATGTAAATCTTTTGGGAATGGCCAAAATCCATACAGGTGAATTTCATCACAAAATCTGGTGGCAAGTGTGTACATGAGGAGACCGGTGCTGGGTCGTTTGATGTGGACCTTGTTTGTCAGCCAATAGCTGCAAAGAAACCAAGAGAAGTACGTCAAGAAACACCCATACAACTTGATGTGAAAAAAAAAATGTGTGAAGGAAACTTGTTTTAGCTATTCATTTACTTATGCAGACATTTTACACATTAAAAAAAAAAAAGGTTCCTTTTACTTCTGTCGCTCATAGCAACAAAAGTAAGCGCCTAAATGGTGACCCTGGTACTGGCACACGTTTATTCCACCTACAAGAAACATCGAAGTGAGATCTATTTAACACAAGGCTGAGGAAAAGTTAGCCAAAGGAGGATCTGAGTTCAGGCTCTCACCCTACCAAGAATTCCCAATTCCAGCGAGTGCAGGGAAAAGGCAGTTTATCTCCTTAGTCCAGCAATCAGGTAACAGAGACTCTTGCAAAAAACCTTGACCTCTCATAGTATCTGATTTGTCTCATCAAATCAGCTCTGCGCTGACATTTGACTGACATAGTGATTATTTTACAGATCACTCATCTGAATAGAAAGTGAATGGAAATAGTAATGTAATACACAAGAATTTAACTTCCGTAAGCAAAAAAAAAAAAAAAAGAAGCCTTATTTATTTTGCTTGTGAACAGGTACTTAAAGCTTCCTATTTGCTGGTGGCAGTCTCTGGAAAAGCAAAACCTTATTTAGTAACTTTAGAGTAGTTTGGTTTCGTACTGACTAATACACAAATCCCACTGCAGCTATGGGACTACTGTTTTTCTGAGCTGGTGACAGCATGTCTGATTATGGGTTTAGAAGCCTCAGGGAGTTTCCAAAGACGCAAATGGTGGTTAGGTACATACGGCACATGGGAAGGGAACAGCATCCTGGCACGCAACTCACACTGGCACCTTTCAAAATTGGTTTACATCCCCAACCCTGAGAAATAAGACTTCACTAAAATACTGTCAGCCCATTACTGGTGAAGCACTTCTCCCAAGTCTGATCCAACAGTCTGTACACAGAAACAAAGAAGGGCATTTAGAAACATAAACCTGGATCGTTCTGCTGATCCAGGTACAAGAGCAGCCCTATACATAGTTGCGCTGGTCCAACTGGGGGAAGAAGAAGCAAGTACAGAAGACGAACAATCCTTACATAGCATTACCACCTAAACCTAAATCAGTGTATTGTCTCAATATATTCTTAACTAGTTGTGTGCTCTGAATTGCTTCTGCCACTGCTTAGAGAGGAAGTCAAGAGAAATTTGCCTCACTAGGGCAGGGTCTTTGTTGTAAATAGGGTTACCATAGGGTTGGAGCTGTGAGTATACCACTGTGTTATTTTAAAGGCATTTAGAGATATAGCAAGAAGGTTCCTGGGAACATCTATTCATCGGTATGAGAAAGGATGGCAAAAATAAATCTTTAATCAAACTAACGTTAAAGTGTCTTAAAAGCATCAGATGGTGTACAACTCCAACAATAACCATCCTGTTGAAACTGGCCTTTTCAAGCTCACGCCTCGCCAAAACCACACTGCCTAAAGGCTGATGTCTTTGAATTACAGAAACATATAACTGAAAGAGAAAATTTTTCCATTGTACTCAGTTTCTTTTTTGAAAGCTGAGGGATTGCGCGAGTGGAAAGCAGGTCTAGGCTGAGAGAGTGCTTCTCCAAAGCCAACAGAGGGAATGACTCAGAATTGTGTTTGGCCATAAAAAGCAGAATGGTAAAAGCATATTAAAAAAAGCAAATGCAATAGGGAAGGGTTAAGTGTGCAAAGGACGAAGGTATTGCACAACATTTTCTTCAGTGTTTATACAAACCTAAGTTTTCAGACAGACGAAACTTCTGAGATATAATGCTAGGCAGTTTGCTTTCAGCTCAGAAAACTGACCCGGCATTTTAAAACAAGGGAAGCCAAAAGAGAAACTCTGATTTCAGATCCTTCTTTTTTTTCCATTTTTGCATGTAGAAAAGTTATTGAAAAACTGAATCTGACCACTTTTGGCACTTCATATGACAGACACAGCAGAATAGACTGAACCTGAAACCCAATAACTTAATTTTAGCAGAAACAGATATTTGCCTCTTCAAAAATAAATTGGTACCCACCTTAACCACATGCAGTCAGTCATCTACGTGACTGTCTCTAGCCAAACAGTAATCAGACCTGACACATCTGTTACGTTAGTGACCTCGCACAAGCACTATCATCTGAGGTGAATTTCACCCTTACAGGAATACATTGATCACTGTTGAGAACTAAACTAACAGCAAACAGGCAGATCAGCATATTTGAAAAGGAAACTATTTTTACTGAGCATTTGTGTGCAGGTGTCATGAAAAGATGTCATGAAAAACACTAACACATTAGAGCTTATCACAGTTTTATACTTTATAAGCAAATCTTCTGCTTGTCATACTCAGAAATCATACAGAAGAGAAATGTGACTGCTGGGCTTCTCTTACAAATGAAAGAGATACCCAAACACTATACTCCAAGCATGGTACTGGCTGTATTTACTATTGAGATTTGGCAACTTGAGATCAGTTCTGCTACAGATGAAAAGAAGCCAAGTAATACAATGAATTAAATGGTTAGAGGCATTTAAGGCTTCAGGCAGAAGATTAAAGCTTCCTGCAGCACAACTCATCTGTGCAAATCCCTGGCTCCCAACCTCCGCTGGAATTGATAAAATGACCGTGTGGTGTAGCAAGCCTCAGTGATTTTGGTCCTGAAACACATGTATAAACGCTTTAGTGACTCAAGTAGCTACTCTAATATGAAACTAGCTAAGGCAGATTTTTAACAGTTCCCTGATGTTGTAAATGCTTTGACCAATGAACGTTTCTGTACCCGTTTCTCAGTTTGTGGAGCTTTGTTATAACGTCAGTTTTAAGCCTAAATATACCCTTCTTCCCTATGTATCTGAAATGCACTCATTTTCTGTAAAATCAGGATAACAAGGTAAGAGAAGCAACTTACCACAGACCCATAAATCTGAGAAGATCTTTTGTTTCTCACAGATAGTCTCTAAATTTTCACCCATGACCAGTCAATTCCTGATTTTCAGACTGGGTATACAAATAAGGCTAAATCTACAAAGGAATAGGTGTATCTCATCATTTTTGGACAACGGAGCCCACTGTTTAAGCATAACTAGCACTGGTAAGCCCATATATGGCAGGGTGTAACCACATCACACACAACTACAGGGAGGAGACAGCTCCTGTCCCACCCTGCTGCCCAAGTCACTTGGTCTTATGCTACAGAAACTGTTTTGTGGGGCCATGCTGTAAAGCAGATTACTGAACTTATCCATGTTAAAAATAAACCTGCCGTGGTAAGTGTAATACACAACACTGCTAAAATAAGCCATCAAAAACACAAGCAAGAATAGAGTTTGCTGAAATGAAAGAAAGGTTAGTTCACCGCCTAATGGATTTAGGCTGGTTCAGGTCCTCAATTGTTATAAAATTACATGGAATTATTGCCAGGATTGCAACCAGGTAACTAAAAATAGCACTATACTTTGTAAAATTAAAGGTAGAGAAAGGACATCGCTGGCAGCATAGGAGAGCTAAGGCTCGCTCGATCCCTGGCAAGGAGGCAGGCTTGCGCAGGCGCTGGCTCCTCTACCCACCGCCCTCTGCTCCCACTCCGATCTCATGCCAGTCCTGCCTGCGTGCATCTCAGCTCCCCATCCCCATCCAAGTCTCTTTGCCTCTGCAAAGTTTTTATCTGGCATTGGACATGTTATGCAGGAAGTCACGCTCACATCTCTCTAGGTTGCCTCTTTCATCCAGTCAAACGTGGATCTCTTCTCTACAATCCTCTATTTGGTATACACATTTCAAAGAGATTTCACACGATTTTAAAATTCAGAGAATGCTCTCCTTCATGTTTCACTATATGTTACACGTAAAAATTAAAATAATGTACTCTGAAAGACATCTTTCCGTGTTTTCATTAAGGCTGGCAATTGGTGTTGTCAATAAAGGATTTGAGCCAGCATTATTTGAATACATGCAAATACCTTAGGTATAAAAAAAAATGTTTGTGCCTTCCTTTATAATGCTATTATCTTAGTGACACATAGGTTTTTCACATGTAGCTCCATGCCATAAATAAGACACTCAACATGTTTTACCGCTCAGCTCACCCCACTCCACTCGGTCAGTGCCTTTTCTATATTGGGGGCCCACAATGGGACATGGTATGCCTGCTGTGGTCTCTCTGGGGCAGGGGAGAGGGTGGTGATGCTCCCCTTGATGGGCCAGCCACACTGTTGCCCATAAGGCCAGGGGGGCTGCTACCCACTCTTCCCCGGGGCCTGCTACTGGCTTTCCGCCGTCGCAGGCGCTCCTCCTGCCGGGTGCAGGACACTGCCTCTCTCCCTGCTAGATCTCCTACAGTCCGCACCCAGATACAAGAATAGTGTAGGAGACGGTGCTCAAAGCCCCGCTGAAGTCGAAGTATATGGCATACACTGCTCGCCCCCCATCCACACATTGGAGGGGGCTTGCCAGCTAAACTTAGTCAAAATGCACAATTTTCGCTTCATAAGGCAAGCTCCTTTTAAATTCGGAGCGAGCAAAGATAAGGTCCTGTTCTGTTCTTATTCATACTGACAACAAACAATAAATTCTAATTGTTATTGCTAGAAATGAAAAGATTTTGACATTTCCTTGTGGAAGCTTGCTTTCATACTTCCATAAGCAAGCTAAAAAACAGTACTTAGTAGGAAAATACTGCAGTTTCCTACTACCTAGGAGAAAAAACTGCTTTGAAAACTATTATTACTAGCAGTTATTAGTAGTTCTCAATCAATAGGAAGTTGCATATTGGGAGGCTCTGCAAAGCTGTGCCTTGGGTCTAGTTTTAGGCAATGGCAATGCAGTGGTCGAACAGTGTGTAATGCAGTAATGAAACAGTTTCAGTAATGAAACATGACTGAAATGAATGCAAATACCATGGGGGAGAAGTAGAGAATAAGACTCAAAACACAAAATAAGCTTGACAGAGTGGACAAAAAAATAGGATACAATTCAATAAACAG